AWTGATATATACATTTAACTACCAACTTGTTCTTTCAAAACCACATATTTACCCACCAAAATTTACCCACATTTAACTACCAACTTCTTCTTTCACAACCACATATTTACCCACCAAAATTTTCATCCATTTAAAACCCAATCGACATAACATGCCCTATCCGCTTCTTGGAAATCCCAAAACGTGTTCACCTTTTCAGGATCGTCTCTTATCAATGAAATTGCTTTATACTTATCCCGTTGGGGCAACGTCTGCATTTTTAATATCTCATGAGTGATCATCGAACGTTTCTTATCAATTTCGTCTTCTCGTTCTACACCCCTGCTAAGTTTGTTCGCTATTTTCTCCAAAGTTTCTCCAAGTTTAGTAACCGCATTACTAAATCCGTCAGACATGGGATCTACTTGACGTTTTCTCTTCTTACGACGCGTACTTGAAGTTTCTTCAGATTGCATATTTGCATTCCCACCTTGAACATTGCTAGTTGCAATTACGTCATCGGACTCGTCATTCAGATTTTGTGTTTGCTCTTCTGTACGTGCCTCCTGTTCCGCCTCAACAAAATATCTTGCTCTATAACCTGTGGCACAATCTTTTCCGAATACAACACAAAGATCCTCATAAAAAGGAAATGGTTTGTTCTTCCATTTTCCTGCCCCTTTATGGACCTATTTCATAATAGAAATTATTAAATATACATATAACTATGATTATAGATAATGCAAATATAAATACCAAGTTCTTTTGAGCATGTACCTGAAGATACGACTCCCAAACTTGGTCTTCCGCAACGACACAATGTTTCACACTATCGTATCCAAAGCCACTAGTATATGAACCATTAATCATGTCATGCACAATAGTCCAATCTTTCTTCATTATTTTTAACTTTGATTCGATGTGTGGTTTCCCTAAAATCCTGGAGCCCGGCAAAGATTCTTTTAACGATTGTTCAAGAAATGTTAAATAACTCGATTTAAAGCCATTATCGGCTTTAAATGCTCCCGTATTGACCATAGTAAGTAAAGCTTCAACGAGTTTTGTTTCTTCAATATTCGTCCAAACTCTATAATTTCTATTTTGACTCGTCATACCTACAAACATAAATGAATCAAAAGAATAACGACATTTAATTATCCATGTCCAAACTCCATAATTTCTATTACAAAACAAACATTAGATTTCAACAAACATGGCAAGTATGAGTTAAACAAACATTAAGGATGAGTTAATAAATATTTGAATCATACAAATTAATTGGTAGCATTCCAAGATGGATCATGGAGACAGGCATGTAATGAGGTGTATTACATACTTAGCTCTTAGTTTGTTGTTGTCAAATTAGCTCATATATCGGATCGCTTCTGGTTGTTTCTATGCTGACCTAAAGTAWAATTTTGGGCCAAWTTTRAMACTATCTATTACAACCTTTGGTATCTTTTGAGTGTCRCCTAGTTTTCTTGGCACTATTTGAGAGAAGTCAAAATTATCACTTGTTACACTATACCCTTCAACATTATATCCTTTGTTCAACTACCTTTGTCTAATAAGCGTAGTATAGTTCTGCATTTCTCTTCTGTCCTTTTATGGCGTAATGTTGTATGTAAGTATGCATTATCAACAAGTGCAGTAACAGTGACTATTGTGCATTATCAACAAGTTCTATTCTCTTCTGTCCTTTTATGGCGTAATGTTGTTGTATGTAAGTATGCATTATCAACAAGTTCTTTCCAATTTCCAACAGGGAGAACCCTTGTGCATTTTCTATTCTCTTTATGGAATATGCATTATCAAATTAAAACCCCAAAATGCAGACCAGAATCGAGCATTTCTAATGCTATAGAAAAGGGGTTAATCGATTACCTGCTGAGTGATGGGAGACGCCGGCAAACAGGAAGGAAGACAGCACCGGCGAGGAGGCAAACCTAGGGCACAGCTTCGCAAGGGACGCGACGGGAAGGAAGCGGGAGGCGTGGGTGAAGCAATCGACAGGAATCGATGGGGAGAAGGCCGGATTTGGATTTCAAATCCCGCTAGTTTGCAATGGATTTCCAAAACCCGCGTCTAATGGATTTTAATGAAATCCCAGGATTCCAAATCCCTTCAATTTGGCAAACCAAACACAGGATTGGAATGGATTTCAAATCCAAATCCCTCCAATTTCATTCCAATCCCGCAAACCAAACGCACCCTAAGAGAAAGAGAAAGAAAGGAAGGAGAGAAAACATTTTTGAATGTTGTTGAACGGGTAATAAAAAAAAATGTCATTTTTTATAAATATATTATTTATATGTTTTGCTGGTATTAATTTATAGAAAGTCTTGTAATTTTAATAAATTATTCAAAAACTAATTTCTTTTCATAAAAGGTGTTACTTGTTATTTCTTTCTTAAATATTTTCAAAACAAGTCTTTTCTTTCCAAAATGGGTTTTGTCAAAGCTTTAATTTCATTTGTTCAGAAAGTAACATGGTGCTTCGTTCGAACAAGAAGATTTTTTACTTAAAATTATAAACATCAATATAATTGTTAGAAAATATTTATTAAATTATGAAGTAGTTGGACTTGGAATTGTGCTCCATATTTTTTTTATCTATACTATATTATAAAACATTTGGCTAAAACTCTTAAAATCTCTTAAACCCGTTCATCCCTATCCGATTTCATCTCATATCTGAATTCGTGTAACTAACTGCAGATAAACACAATCAAATATAGGATAAACATCTCATTTTAAATATAAAAAATCTAAAATATAATTAATATAATCATTAAATTCTAACAAAATACTTAATTATTATCTTTATAAAATTTATAATATTAAACCAAAAATAAATTATTTTATTATTAAACTTAAATTAAATCATATATAAAAATATATATTATATATTATAAATCATTTGACAAAAACTCTTAAAACCACTTTTTATGCGTAAAGTACTGTTTATTAATGCATATTACTTAAAACTCAAGATTACAATTAAATTGTGTGCTGGTACAACTTATTAAAGCTCCATATCTGAATTCGTGTAACTAACTGCAGATAAACACAATCAAATACAGGATAAACATCTAATTTTAAATATAAAAAA